AGAGGGAGAGGGAGAGGGAGAGGGAGGGAGGAAGGAACAAATGAAAGAAATAAAAAGAAAATAAAATGTAGGAGGCCAGAAAAAGATTCCCTCCTAAAGCCTCATATGGAATGTGGCCTGATATTTGGTCTAATGAAACTTATTGCAGGTTTATGATCTCCTAAACTGTGAGAGAATACATTTCTGTTGACTTAAGTCACCAAGTTATGGCAGCAATTGGAAACCAGTTGATCATCAGAGACCTTGGGAACTAAGAAGATGGACATGTCATTAACAAGAATAAGAATATGGGGAAAACAAGACATGGTGAGGGATTAAATTTTAAATATAAAAAGTTTGAAATACACAAAAGACAAATCTAAACAAATAAATAAATACATAACAAAAATCTGATTTCCTATTTAAAGTATTTCAACTTTTTAAAGTTTTAAAAGATCGTTAAAATGTTCAAGTGTTATTTTCTTTGGATAATCAAATGTAAGACTCATCGTTTATACATTCTGTCATCTGACAATACTGTGGTTAAAACAGATGCCAGGTCAAGTGTGGTAGCTCATGCCTGTAATGCCAGTGACTTGGGACTGCAAGTTTGAGGTCAACTTCAGCAATTTAGGGAGGCCCTGAGCAACTTAGTGAGAACCTGTCTCAAAATTAAAAATAAAAAGGATTGGGGATGTAGCTCAGTGGTAAAGTACCCCTGGGTTCAATCCCCAGCACAAAAAACCAAAAACCTAAAGAAACAGGTGCCAGCTTCTAGAATTACATAGTATCTCTGGAATGTTTAAAATTCAAGAACCATCTGTTACCATGGATCACTTACTTAAGCCATTCAGATTGGCAATTTTTTCAATGCAGTTTGTAGACAGTGAAAGCTTCCTTTAAAAGAACAAAGAAAAGACTTTAATTAACATGAAAAACTTATAATAGTATATTAGAAATTATTCCTCAACAGTAGTACCCATGGAAGATAATATTTAAACAATTGACTTTTTTTTTCCTCATTCAATCATAGAATTCATTCATTTTTTTAAACGATCCTCCCCCCTTGTAAATGTTAATATACACTTATTGTAGGAAATTTTAAAAATCTTTTTGAGGCAATTTGGTGTTATCTATAAAAATTTTTAATGCAAATGTTCTTAGTATTTCACTGCTAGGAATGCAGCCTACTAAAATACAAAGATGAGTGCCAAGAGATATACAAAGTAGACTACTTATTATATAATTATAATAGAAAAAAACTCTGAAAAAATCTGTCAACTTGGAATAGATAATGAAATACTATGCTGATACTAAAAAATGATATTGGGCTATAGATACTGACTTGTGAAGATGTCCATGATGTAAGTTAAATTTAAAAACCATCTTGTAAATCAATATATTTTATACAACTCCTTTTAGTAAAACAAAACAAAAAGCTCCAAACCTCAAAAACACAATTATGTATATACACTTGTTAAGATATATTTTTTATGTGTTAAATCCTTCAGAAATGTATACTGAAAAAATGTAATGTCATATGTAATCCCAATTGTCCCACCCTCCCTAGAGAGTCATACTTTTAATATTTTGCATATATTTTTCTAGACTTTTTCTATCCATATTTTAATGATATAAAAACAAAGTTTTTAAAGGGAACATAGTTAACATTCTTAATCTTTCTTCCTTGATTAAAATGTTTAATATATTAGAAATTTCATGCAAAACATATAATAATAAAGGCTAATTTCATTTAATGTGTGCCCACTATTCTTCTAAACAATTTACATGAATTATTTTAACAATCACAATTTTCTGAGATAAATATTATTATTATCCACATTTTACAAATGAAACTGAGACACAAAGATGTTAAACAATTTGCCCAATATTACACAATCACAACGTGGCAGGTCCAAAATTAAAATCCAGGTAAGTTTGATGCTAGAACATGTGTCTTACCCTTATATTTGACTTGAAGAGGAATTATTCATTTATCTGTTTGAAACATCAAAAGCAATTACTATATAGTTTTCACCAAATCTGTATATTTTCTAGTTAACCCCCATTCCTGAGACCTACCAGTGATAAATAAAGTGCCTTAAAAATCCAGAAATATTATTGGAAAAGAATTCTTTAAATCTTGTTTACATAGCTTTCCCAAAGACACTGTCAGCAAAAATATGAACAGGTTGACTCTTTCTAAATGGTTTCTGAAGGCTTTGGCATGGGATAGAAAATCTTCTCAAGTCTGTTTACCTTTTTGGTGGTTTTATGACAAAAAAAGATCATTCTAGAAGCCAAATATGAATCCCAAGGTAGATTTTTATGTAAGCCAGTATGCTTTCATCACAATGAATGAATTGCACACAATAAATACATATGTTTGCTTTACCCTTTAATCCCAAAGATATATATGAGTAATATTACAAATATGTGTTCACCAATATGTGATCACAAGTATGTGTCCAAGAACTACCCAATTGCCTACTGTAGAGATTCTTAGAATTCCTTAGTATGATTCTATAAAATTGGGATGGAGCTTATCTCCTGCAGAAAGTTCAGGTGGTGAAGGGATCACATTTATAGAAACACACAGTGAAGAAGTTAGAAAGAACCTCAGGTACTCTACAGTATTCCACAACCCTGACAGGAGATAGGGTCCCGAAAATATGGTTATGAGGTGTCACTGTATAACTGCCTCAAATTAGCATACAATCCTGCTAAAAACTGAGTAGAATATTTAGAAAATAAATTAAAAGAAATTAACATAGATCTGATCATTGAAGTCATAGGAAATAGGATTACAAAACAAGTGCAATTTTATTCCAATTAGGATTAAAAAAAAAATTAGCCTGGTGAGGTGGTACACACCTATAATCCCAGCTACTCAGGAGGCTGAGGCAGAAGAATCAAAAGTTCAAGACCAGCTTTGGCAGTTTAGTGATATCCTGTCTAAAAATAAGAATAAGGGCTGGGGGGATGTTGCTCAGTGGTAGAATACCACTGGGTTCAATCCCTAGTAGTGGGGGTAAAAATTAAAAGGCTCTATGTAAAAATGCTAACATTGATTTTACAAGATACTACAATTTAGGTTGACATTAATACTTTGTGTTCTTTATATTTCCTGGATGGTTTGCAATGTATTTTTAGTTTTTTTTAAAATGCGTATTCCTTAGGTAATCAGTAAAAAAATGCAGTTCTGAATTTGATGGATAATTTTACAAGAAAAAGTAATTGACTCAAATGACAGAGTAACAGTTGATTCTGTTATTTAGCTTCTTCCAAAAAACTAGCACTTTTCCATTTCCAAAAATAATATAAAAACTATATTATAATATAAAAACTATACTATAATATAAACTATATTATTTATATTATAATATAAAATATATTATAATATAATATAAAAATATAACATAAAAACTATATTGAAAATATCATTCCATTAATAATCCTATAAACCAGTCATCTTTCACATTTAACTTTCCCAAGGGAAGAATTACAATAAACAAACAAAAATATGAAAATCACAGAAAACAAATATATCCTAGTATAAAGGAAAAAAGAAAGGAAAACTAAATAGCAATACTAGAAGGATGAAAAGAGAACTTACTCGCAATTAGCCAGTGTGGACAAGGATGCATCCATCTTCTCTATTGGGGGAATCTGGGCATAAAGTTTTATCTCTTTGGTTTCAGATGGCCTCTGACCAGTTTTCTCTTCCTATGAGAAAAGTTAATTTGGAACAAAATGATCCCTAGTTATGATGTACAACAAAAGAGGCAAGATTTCTGAAGGCCTTTCAACATTAATTTCAACATTTTTAGAATTTTAATAACTACTTAATAATTATTCACTACTTACTGAACCATGTATTTGCTGACCCTAATAACCAGGCTTCTATATGGCTCAATCTGATAATTGTTAGGTCCCTAGCAAAAGGAAATAAGGAGAAAAAAATCACTTATATTTTTATATTGTTTAAAATCTTTTGTTTATCCATTTCCAGGTGTAGTGGCATGTGCCTGTAATCCTAGCAACTTGGAAGGTAGAGGCAGGTAGGTCAGCCTCAGCAACTTAGTGAAACCTCAGCAATTTAGCAAGATCCTGTCTCAAAATGAAAAAATAAAAAAGGACTGGGAATATAGCTCAGTGGTGTAAGGCTCTTAGGTTTAATTCCTAGTACAAATAAAGTAAAATAAAAAGTCTACCAATTGATTTTCCTAAAAAATATTCCTTGTCCCTAACTGACCTCGTTAAATATCAGATTCAGAATGGTAAGATTTCATTCATCTTCTTTTTTCTATACTTATTTCAGCCTGAGCTAGAACCTCAAATATAAGAAATTTTAAAGATATTCTCTTTATAACATAGCTGAGATCAAAGCTATCTATTCTACTCTAATTCACTAAATTCTACCTTAGTATCTAGTTTTAGTATTAAGCATACAATTTAAAATTTAATTACCCATACTAGCTGCCTATTAATATTTTCCAAGCACATCACTAACTTAGAGTTAGTTCTCTCTTTCCAACACAACTTGAAGCTCAGGGACCATTTCCTTTGCCCTCCTGTGTTTTCTGTAACTTAAAGGAAAAAAGTTTATTTTGGGTTTATGGTATCGAAGGTTTAGTCCAAGGTCAGTCAGTTCCATTGCTCTGGAGTGAGGCAGAACATCAGGGCAGAAAGGCATGATGGAAGAAAGCTGCTCAGCTCATAACCACCAAGCAGAGAGGAAGAGCCAGGAACAAAATATGATCCCCAAAGACATACTCTAGTGAAATACTTCCTCCAGCCATGCCCTACCTGCCTACATAATCCACCTAATAGTCTACCGAAATTATTAATCCCTGAAATCGTTTTAAATGGATTAATCCACTGATTAGATTAATCTTGTGAAATGTAGGATACAAAGAGGTTCATTTAAAAAATCAATTCATCACACATCAACAATAGAAAATATATAGTCCATTGAAAGAGATCTAACATACATCCAGTCAGTACTTTTGTATCACGCATTTGTAGGTTAGGGGAAAGAAAATTTAAACCCCACAAATCTTCAATAAATGATGGGTTGCCATTTGTGGCAACACAGATGAGCTGGGAGGACTCATTCATTTTAAGTGAAATTTGCCAGGAACAGAAAGAAAAATACTACAGGTCCTTACCCATTTATGGAACCTAAAAAATTGGACTTCACAGAAGTCCACAGTATAATAGTGGTTACCAGATGCTGGGAAGTGTAAGGGGTAGGGAAGTAACAGGTACAAATAGGAGGAATAAGTTCTAGTATTCTATAGCACAGTAGGGTGACTATAGTTAATGATAATTTATTATATATTTAAGAATAACTATAAAGAAAGCATTTCAAATATTAGCATAGGAATGATAAATGTTTGAGGTGGTAGATATGCAAATAATACTGAATCGATGATTACACATTATATACATATATCATGTCACATTGTTGGGCTGGCATTATGGCTCATTCATATAGCACTTACCTAGCACATGTGAGGCCCTGGGTTCAATCCCCAGTACCATATAAAAATAAAGGTGTTGTGTCAATCTACAACTAATTTTTTTTTAATGTCACATTGTATCCCATAAATATGTACAGTTATGTGCCAATAAAGAACATTTGTCTGTGTGTGTGTGTGTGTGTGGTGCTGGGAATTAAACCCAGGGCCTTGTCATGCAAGGGAAGCACTCTACCAACTGAGCTATATCCCCAACCCAAAGTACATTTTTTAAATGTTAAAAATTAGCCGGGTACAATGCTGCATACCTGTAATCCCAGCAGCTCAGGAGGCTGAGACAGGAGGATTATGAGTTCAAAGCCAGTCAGCAACTGTGAGGCACTAAGCAACTCAATGATACCCTATCTCTAAATAAAATACAAAATAGGGCTGGGGATGTGGTTCCACGGTTAAGTGCCCCTGGGTTCAATCCCTGGTACCCACACCACCCCACCCCCGCCTCAAAAAAATTAATGTGAGCACTGGGGCTGTAGCTCAGTGGTACAGCATTTGCCTAGCAAATGTGAGGCACTGGGTTCAATCATCAGCACCACATAAAAATCAATTAAAAAACAAAATAAAGGTATTGTGTCCATCAACAACTAAAAAATTTTTAACAAGACTTTTTTCCCAAAGCTATAAAAGTAAAGAGTACATTATTTTGTAACAAACTATATAGCATAGACAAAAAAAGTTATCACTGGGCACAGAAATTAAGGTGCCATCTTTGTACTCTATGGGAATTTTATCTATAAATGCTGAATTACAATTGTTCACGTTACAGAATGTTAATATTCAAAATACTCATTGTTATGGTTTGGATATTAGGTGTTCCCCAAAAGGCTCATGTTAGTTAATGCAGGAATGTCCAGAGGTGCAATGATCAGATTATGAGAACTATAATCTAATCAATGGATTAATCCATTTAAAACTATTTCAGGGATTAATAATTTCAGTAGACTATTAGGTGGATTATGTAGGCAGGTAGGGCATGGCTGGAGGAAGTATTTCACTAGAGTATGTCTTTGGGGGTCATATTTTGTTCCTGGCTCTTCCTCTCTGCTTGGTGGTTATGAGCTGAGCAGCTTTCTTCCATCATGCCATTCTGCCCTGATGTCCTGCCTCACTCCAGAGCAATGGAACTGACTGACCTTGGACTGAATCTTCGACACCATAAACCCAAAATAAACTTTTTTCCTTTAAGTTGTTCTTGCCAGGTATTTTGGTCATAGTGATGAATAGCTGAATGCCACACTTATGGTTTATATTTAAGGCATGTTTTTTACAATGTGTTTCCTCTCTAATATTACTATATACTTTAGTATTTTTACTCCAAGTGTTTTCAGTTGTTTATGTGTAATTTACATTGGTCTATACTGGCTATCTCTGTTCTAACATCCAACAGGCTGAAACTATCATCTGATTAAAGCCTGGACAATCCACAATATTTACCACTCTATTACTTGAAAGTGACTAATAAAACTGGAAAAGAAAATGTACTATAATACAAAGGTTCTAGCCATTTTATAGCAATAGGTTAATCAGTCTTTCCATATTTATATTTTTATTGACATTTCTGTTAAGATATTTGAGGGGTGGGGATGGGTGCAGCTTAGTGGTAGAGTTTGTGCCTAGCATGCACAAAGCCCTGGGTTTGATTCCCAGCACCACAAAACAAAACAACAAAAACAGAGTGATCCCATGTACAGTTTGACCAGAATATTACTCCCCAATGGTAATAGTATATAAAACTACAGTATATCATAACTAAGGTATTGCTACTGATATAATGTATCAGTTTTATTTAGATTTTCCCGGGCTGGGGATGTGGCTCAAGCGGTAGTGCGCTCGCCTGGCATGCGTGCGGCCCGGGTTCGATCCTTAGCACCATATACAAACAAAGATGTTGTGTCCGCCAAAAACTTAAAAAAAAAAAATAAAAATATTAAAATTCTCTCTCTTAAAAAAAAAAAAAGATTTTCCCAAATTTACTAGTACTCACTTACGTGTATGAGTGAATATATATTTGTATGTATGTATTAAGTCCCAAACAATTTTATCAACTGTATAAATTCATGTATTCACTACCACAGACAAGATAGCTGAACAGTTCCAATATCACAAGGATACCTTGTATTGAGTGGTCAGATTTAAATAACTATCCAAATTTTCCTTGTATGGCTTCTAAAAGAAGGAAAAACTCACATACTTACCCATCTGGCTAGGGCTTCTTTGATTGTTGTTGCTTTTGCCTTTAAAAAACAAAAAAGAAGAAGAAAAAAATAAAAAGAAAAAAGAAGAGGAAGAAGAAGAAGAAACAGGCTGTTTTTATTGGTGTGATTTATTAATTCAATTTTCATTCATTAATCATTAGCTTAGCTTCCACCTTTAAAAGGATTAATGCCTTTCTTTGAGATTTTATAGGCAAGAAGGTATTTTAATGATTTCTTTAAAGACCACTCAGAAAAAATAAGGAAATCACTATGTAATGCTCATACATTTCACTTCCACTTGATTTACAAAAAATACATAGCTTCCAATACTTGATATTAAAATATATTCTATTTCATTGATTCAAAAATCTACATCTTCTTTTACATTGTAACATTGAAATTTGGATGCATTACAATTAGGAACAATTTAGGATTGCTGTGGCCAGGTGATAGTGGCAAAATTTTAGAAAAATATTAACAATTTTATTTCATACACATAAACTCCTTTTCATGTTTGCAAAGAATGATATAACAAAAATCTACACGTCTAAATCTTTTTAAAAGAATTCCATCAATAAGTACAAATTAAAAATTCTAGATGATAAAAAATTTGTCATAGTTCAATTTCAACTTATTTGAGGAATTCAGCACTAAGAAAGAAATCTGCATTTTCAAATGCATTCATCAGAAAACAAGAAATTGGAAACAAATGGGCTAATAAGAACTTAAGACATTTTAAAAAGTACATATGGCAAACCCAAAGAAGAAATACAAAGGAAGAGGTCAATGAAAAGCAGAAAGGGGAAGGGGTTCTTAATTCTCTTGCAAGCATGACTGGGAAAAAAATAAGAGATATATAAATTTAAAATACAGAATGAATAAGGTAGATATCATAGAGATTTTTATCAAGTGTTTAAATAAAATGAGCAAAATTTGCTATAGTTTTAAAACCTAGATGAAGTTTTCATTTTTAGAAAAAACATTAAAATATGAAAACTGTCACACAAAAAGAATCAGAAACTTTGAATAGAACAATACTATTGGAAACATTAAAATGACAGTCAAAGAAGTTTACTGTCATCCTTCTCTCATTAAGCTCCAAGCTTAGATGGTTTTACAAGTGAATTGTAACAAGCTTTCAAAGAATACTCCTTCTTATGCAAGTTGTTTCAGAACCCAGAGAAAGAGGAAAGTTGTCAACTTATTTTATGAGTCTAGAAAAATGATAGCATAAAAAGTCCTCTTTACTTTTTAACACAGATTTGGAAATTCTGAATAATATTAGATCTCTCCAAAGTCAATAATATGTAATGATCATGATCAAGAAAGAATATTTTGGGGGCTAGAGTGGGACTCAGTGACAGAGTGCTTGCCTATCATGTGTGAAGCATTGGGTTCAATCTTCAGCACCGCATAAAAATAAGCAAATAAAATAAAGGTATGCTGTCCATCTACAACTACCAAAAAATAAAAATAAAAAATAAAGAATGAATAGTTTATCCCAACAGCACAAAGAGAACAACAGAAAAATTTCAAAGTATAAAAATTAGTGGATTATTCATAGGAAATCATGTTTATTTCAGTAAGTGTAGAAAACACTTGATAAATTTCTGTATCTGATTTTAGATGTTGTCAGCTAATAAAGAGAGATTCCTACTTGATAAAAGTTATATACCAAAAATTTGCAATACTATACTTTGAAAATTAATTTATTTCAGCAACTATTCCGTGTCTACTGCATGCCAAGCATTCTTTTATGTGTTCTTGATATGTTGAACAAAACAAAGATTCCTGCCTTCATGAAACTTACATCTGCTGGAGGGGAGATATATATATATATATATATATATATATATGTAAATTGGAAGATAACAATTATTCAGATTTTTTTAGAAAAACTTCAAGGTTGGTAAGGGGTATCAGAAAGTATATGTGTGTGTGGAGGATATTTATTTTAAATAAGGTAGTCAAAGTGGGCTCAACTGGAAAGGTAACATTAAAAGTATTTCCTTCAAGGTCCCAAAAACATCAAGGATGCTCACTATCACTACCTCTGTTTACTATGGCTCAAGAGATCTTTATAAACACTATAACAAAAGAAATACAAAGTGCAATGATTGAAACATTAAACTGTCATCATGTGCAGATGATCATCAGTAAAGAAAACCCAAAAGAATAAACTGGTAAGTGTTAGAGCAAACACAATCAACAAGTAAAGAACACCACTGACAAAGTTAACAGTAAAATTGGGAGAAAATATTTTTCATTTGAAAGCAACAAAAGGCTTAGTGTACCCAAGGAACTCCTAAATTTTACAAATAAAAATAAAAATGGAAACAAATGGCAAAAATATAAACAGACAATTCACAGAAACTTAAACTTAGGTAACTAATATTAACAGGTGTTTGAACTCACTGAAAATCAGAAAAACTCAAAACAACTGGATACATTTGCAGATCAATAAAAGTGAGAGAGTTGGTGAGAATGTAGAGAAATGGGAACACTTATACTTTGCTGGAGAAAGTAAAAAGTGGCCCAGCTTGTGGGAGGCCAACCTTACGGGTGACTGAGTTACACTCCCCAGCTGGGTGCTGAGGCGCTCAGTCACAGAAATGGGTGTCTTGCTACAGCCCCATGGGTGAAGCTATGCTTACCTGTTCCTTTGTAATATAACCCCTTGCCCTGTTTAGGATAGAATCTTCCATGGAAGTGCCTTGTGTGTGTCCCCTTCTCTTACTGTGCCCTTGGGTGTGGCCTACCCAGGTGTCAGTCAACCTGCTGACAGTAGACATCTTGAAGACAGACTCAGCCCCCTGAAACCTGACCCCTTGCCTCATTTGAATAGCTTCCCTCAATAAAAGGGGTCAGCGCGCGCTCTCGCTCTCTCTCTTCCTGCGGACCCTTAAGGTCAGAGGAGCCGTCATAGCAACCCCAAAGAAAAAGATATTTGTGTCTCTTGTGTGGTTATTTCGTGCAGCCCAGTTAGCCCAGTTTAACTAGAGTGACCCCTAAGCCTTTTAGTCTCGAGAACAGAAACCCGGCACCAGCTATTCTGGAAAACACAATGACAATACCCAGGAAATTTAAAGTATGCATAGACCCTATCACTGAACAATCCATTCCTAGTTGATTTTCCCAGAGAAATCCTTGCATGCATGAGTTCATAAAAAGACACCACCAAAAGAACACTTTCACAACATTGTAGAAAGAGAAGCAATTTATCTGTCTACTGTGGCAATATAAGTTGTTGCAGGTCACTTGTTTCCCTTAATAAACAGGAGGAGTCAAAACCCACAAGTGCCTGAAAGACCAAATGGATACCATTAATTGATGAAATCTGAGCAGCTAAGGGCAGAGCCCACTAAAGAGCATAACTTCTACTTGGCTCCAGACAACTGTTGGGATTTGGGGAAACGAATTATCCTAACATCATATTTCTTCAAATACAAAAACTCCACTAATTGTAACACCCTTGTTTTATGTATCATTAAGAAAGAAAACATGCTGACAGTTATGAGCCATTATATTTCAATAATACTAAAATGTGAAAAGAATGTGTTGTAAGGATGGCCTTAGGCCTTAGCCTAAGCAACTCCATTTTAAAACTCCACTTTGAAACCTGCAGACTCACCCAGCATGCTTACGGAGCCCTCCAATATGATCGAATAGGCCTGACATAAACAAGTCACTTTTCCCCACCCTGACAAGCTCAGAGTGAAGTCTCTGTCATGTTGCTCTCACCCTGATAAGGGGAAAAGGCAAGAAAATCGGGGTGGGGACCACCAGACCAGATGCCTTAACCCCAGGACAAATGATGAAATCCAGTGGCAGCTGATAGGGATTGAAAGGGTGGTCAGAAGTCCCGAAATTTAGTATAAATGGAGCAAATGAACATTCAGCCAGCCTTCACTGATGCCCTCACGCCTGAGAGCCTGATGAGGATTGGACTGACATACCACTCTTCTCATCATTTGCCTGATCTTCTGCATCTTCCTCACGGCTCTCAAACTCTTGACCCTGGTGAGAACTGCAACTTTTCCCTATGACCCTCTCCTCAACTGGCCATCAGCTCCCCCCCAGGAGAAGCCTGCCTTGGTCCTGACCTGATCACCACGGTTTGAGTGAGTGTGCATTTGCTTAGAGCCTAAGGCTTGAAACTTTATACCTGGCACTTGACCTTAGCATCCAGAGGGATTGTCTCTCATGATTAAGAGTGTTTGCAGTGTTTAGAATTAATCTAGAATTGTTCACAGTGAATTGATTATGTCTATTGCAGTGCCTAGCATTAAGGATTGTCATTTTCTTAATTAAGAACCTATAGAGTGCTGGGGTTGTGGCTCAATGGTAGAGCACTCACCTAGCATGTGTGAGGCCCTGGGTTCGATTTCAGCACTACATAAAGCTAAATAAATGAAGGTATTGTGTCCATCTATAACATAAAAAAAAGAACCTATAGAGTGAAATTTATTGAGTGATTTGAGTGAATAAAGCATTGAAAGGGCAGAAGCTCGTGGACATTCTTTATTTCTCCCCTTCGACTGCATAAGTCACACCTATGCCCATAGCAACATGTGTTCAATGTTAAATTTTTTTTTAGAGAAGCCAGAAACCTGAGCTTTAATGTGTAATATTATCTTTTTAAAGCTACATTAAAAATGTAAATTTATGTGGACCTGTATTTATTTCTATCTATCTATCTCACGGTGCTGGAGATGGAACCCAGGGCATCACCTTACTAGGTAAACTTTCTACTACTGAATTATACTCCCAGTCCCAATATTTCTTTATCAACATCTCCATCCAGCAGGACAATCACATCTTTGCTCAATAACTTTAGCTGGATCTGTAAACCTTTTCAAACTACCAGTTAGAACTACCAATAGGTAAGCAAGAGAGTGAGTGCACACTTTAGGAGCTGAGAAGCATCACTAGGCAAAATCATTACTTCATAAAAGCTCTGATTGCACAAAACCGCTGGTTGGTTTTAAATCAAAGGCAGAAGGATTTCTCTAAGTGTGGTGTGATGCTCCCCAATTTTAGAATCACTTGAATGTGCATCGTTGGAATGCACATTCCTGAACACCCAATCATATTAAAAATTAATAATCTGCATTCCAACAAGCTCAAATTTATGCATATTGAAATTTGAGAAACACTGCCCTAGTATATTCCATCAGCGTTACCTAATAAGTGCACTTACAGTCATTCGGAGGGCAATCTGGGCACTTCACAGGTTAGGAATACTGCTGCCAATCGGTGCTACACTGACCCCCCTCGTAACTAGCCCGAGCTCCCTCCATCTCAACAGGGGGTGGGGGAGTTAAAATTATTGCTACGTAAAGAGCTATCTTTATCCACATCCCCCTTTCCATCATCTTTGTCCCGAAAACTTCCTGCTTTTCGCCCTCCTTTTTCTTCTGCCAGGGCCCCTCTATCTTAACCCAACTTCCAACCAATCTCAGGCCACCCTCACCCCAGACCACCCTTTGCCAGGGCTTTCCTTTCGCCTCAGGCCTCGGACTCCACTGAGCCAACATCCGCTATCGACTCCCTTCTGCTGTTCGAAAACCCCGCGGCCCTCAATACTTCACAGTCACCCTTTTCCAGTCCCAACCTCATCTCAGCTTTGGCTAGGAGGCCCGGAGGGTACTCACCATTCCGGCGGTTGCTACTGTCACTGCTCCGGTTGCTAGGGCCCGCCGCGTTAAGTGCGCATGCGCAGCTCTCGGTGCTCTCCGCGGACGCCTGTCCCGGCAGCGGTCCTTCCTCTCCGCCCTTGGGGTGGCGCGAGCGGGGCATTGTGGGACAGCTCCGCGGGCCGGGGTCCTCCCGCCTGGCTGCCGCTTCCCTGCCGACAGCCGAGGGCAGTAGAGCTTAACCGCCACCAGTGGTGAGGAAGTGTCCTTTTCCCTTCCGAAAACATTTTCAGCCGATATGGAGTGACGTTGAAATCTTTAAAACCTCCCGATAGCATTTTCTGTTCTCAGAACTTACAAAATCCCGTTCCGTTGAAGACTGTCTTTCCCATCTTTTCTTAACCGGGGAGAATAAACTACCTACTGTGTGTAATCTACCTCGCCATCGGAGAATACCTAGAGTTAAACTCGATAGAATTTCTTGTATCTTTACCCCTGGTCCTCTAGAGAGCCAGAGGCACCCTGAAAGTTGGACTTCACACTTAAATTATCACAAAATGTTGGTGTTACAGAACTGAGGTGTTCCCACGTATCAGAATAGCTAAAATTGCAAATAAATGAGTGTCTTTATAGAGTTGCTAAAAGAATGGAGAATAGACACAAAAACTCTGCTATTTAATTGACACAGTCTTTCTGAAGCTCCCTGTGACCAGCCCCAAAGTCCCACTGAAACCCAGTTGTTATATTCATTTTACTCAAAATAGTGGATTATACTCTATGCAAATAGCATTAATGGTGAAATATCAATCTTCTTCCCCCAGGAAGATTGAACCCAGGGGCGCTTAACCACTAAACCACATTCCCAGTCCTTTGTATATATTTTATATTTTATTTAAAGACAGGGTCTCCCTAAATTGCTGAGCCTAGTTTTGAACTGGCAATCCTCTTGCGATCATCTTGCCTCAGCTTCCCGAGCCACTAGCATTCTAGCATTACAGGCATGCGCCGTGTGTGTGTGTGTGTGTGTGTGTGTGTGTGTGTGTGTGTGTGTGTGTGTATCTTTATGCCTTTTCAGAATCTTACTTCTATTTCCTCTTTGTCATTAAGTCATAAACTTTGACCATGAATTCATTTCATCTACCACTATATGAACTGTATTTCATCAGAAATTTACTTTTCTCCCATAATTAGTTCACAATAACTTGGCAAATTTCACATCAAGAACGTTTTGAATTTCAGATTCTTTAAGGCTAAGACTGTCATCTAGGAAACAAAAGAACTATACTTGGATTCTTTCTTTATTTTATATCCTGTTTAATGATGAAATGGATTCTAAAAGCTGCTCCCCAGAAAATGTGGCTTGAGGTTGGTTTGCTCTTATTTCAGGCATGGATAAAAGACAGCTAAATGTAGTATTGAAAGTTTCCCCAAATTCATAAAATCTAGCATTCTTTGATAAATACATAAAATTGCATAAATTATCAAAAACAGAACCAAATATATTAAGAAATCTTTAATTTTTAAACAAAAATGTGGATTGAACAAAAGAGGAAAACTTGTCATATTTAACAGATGATTAGAGATTGTGCAAAATAGCTGTAATAATCACTAATTCTTTTTTTAAAATATTTTTTTAGTTGCCAATGGACCTTTATTTTGTCTATTTATTTATGTAAAGTGCTGAGATCCCAACCCAGTACCTCATACATGCTAGGTCAGTGCTCTACAACTGAGCTACAATCCCAGCCCTAATCACTAATTCTTAAGGTTATTTATATAGTCAAGAGGTTTATCAGTTGGATTTAGAATGAGCATTGTATCAAATTTCCATAGTCAATTTTTCAATTACGATTCCAATGTAGTTATTTGATGATATTTTTAAAAAAGCCCATTTCTTCCCTTACTGTGTTTTGGTTTGTGTTAAAATAAACCTCTCTGTAGGGCTGGGGTTGTGGGTCCAGAGGTAAAGCACTCACTTAGCATCAGTGAGGCACTGGCTTCCATCCTCAGCACCACATAAAGTAAAATAAAGACATTGTGTCCACCTAAAACTAAAAAATAAATATTAAAAAAAAAAAACCCTGTCTGTAAAATTTTACATTGTGTAGGGACAGACGTGGCAAGGCACCAAAGTTAGCAGGAAACAGTTTTATTTGGCTGCAGCCAGGATTAGAGGGCACAGCTTTTGCTATAATCAATCAATCCTTGATTCTGAACCAGGAATTCAGGTAGGTTCATAATTTTATACCCAGCATGTAAGGGGAGGGGCTCAGAAGTTCACAGTCTGCAGAAGTTCACATAAAAGCAGCTTTTTCTTTCACTGTTTTGGGCAAGTTAACCCTTCAAGGACAACACCTGAGAAGGGGAGAGCTTCTTCTCCCCTTTCTTCCCTCCAGCTTCCAGCTGTTACCATGGAGCCTAATTGGTAACATCTCTTATCTTAGAAATGTAGACATCTCTGTGAAGCCCAGCTCAAGGCCAGAGGCCTTGTTTGCACATTTCTATAAACTACTATACTGGATACATGTTTGTGAAAAACTAGTAAGGGGGTGTCCTGCATATGCAGTGCTGATTTCTTCCCGACCAGTCGCTAAGTAAAATAGGGCAACACGAAAATAGGAAGTTTATCTACATTGAACTCTTTCATAGAGACTCTTTTGCTGACAGTCCTAAAATCAGCCATGGTGAAGATTTCTGGAGAAGCCCAGTTAAGACTTTTTGTGGAGGAGGGGGTGCCACTACAACATGAACCCCCACCCCCATATCTGGAGGTGTACACACACACACACACACACACACACACACACACACACTTCTTTGGTTGGGGTAATAATCTGAAACTTGAATTCAATTTTTAAAATAACATTAACTTGGGGAAGAAACTATTAATATTACAAACTAGAGTGACAGCTCTTCAATTTGCAAAGACGAGAACCCCCCTCCCATATCCTGAACGCAAGATCAACGGAGCAACCAAAGTCAAAAGCTAGTAATTTCTTCCAATTCTACACATTTTAAAACTTTGGAATAAAAACTCAAAATTTTATCTATGATTATTTTGAGAAGTTAAACCTCACCCACATACTGTAACATTTTTTTGGTGGAGGAGCAAAAGGTAGGAGAGAGGAACTCTATTTTTCTGTTAGAAATTAAATCGTCTACACGTGTAGTTACCAATTTTGGACTAGAACCTACAATCTACCTATTTTAAAGTATAGTTTTGACCTAAAATATGAAGAAAAGTTTTTAAAATTATGAATACAGAGATAAGGGAGAATCAAAGCAAGGGTTTCTCAGTAATTGATTGCCATTTTTAAGGCAATAACTATCTAAGGGTTGCTAACTTTCTCTAAAGATTCTGGAAGAGGTGGCAACTAGAAAAAATCAAAATATTATTAACAGCAGAAAAGATTTTGTGACTTTAGTCTACCATCAACTAGCCTCTTTATTGTCCTGCTGAAATTCACTTTAGCTTCTGATTATTATGAGAAAATTATCATAACCCAGTGGCTCATCATCATAAAACCAATGGCCAAAATTCATGTATTTCTTCCTGTTCAAAACATATCTAAAATGTTTGGGATAGATATGCAAAATCCTTGGGAATATAGAGGGTGACAGAGAAGATAGTTGAGAAGGGTGGGGAAATGGAAGATTGAAAGCTCATTTTCAATTTGCAATTACCTTGAGCTAAAGCTCAAACAAACCAGACATGGAAACATGAGGATAGTTACAAAGCTATAGGGTGTGATGTACTTGAATAGAGTATTTTCACTTCTTTTAAAAGTTTGCAGATGTCTGTGAAAAGTTCAGATCTCAGTCATCATTTTTCAAAACTATTCTGGATTGGGGTAAAACTCAGTGGTTGAGTGCTCACCTAGCATGCATGAGGGCCTGGATTCTCTTGATTTACTCTGAAATATATTCTGAACTTTACTGACTAGTTAGCCTTTACTCTATGTGCAAGTGCAAAAATTCCAAGATTTTTTCCCAAGACTCAGTCTGAGCAATAGCATGAGATGCTCACCTTCTAAAGCAGGCACCTCTAATATAAAATGAAGGTCTAAAGAGAAAAAAAGGGCTATAAGGAGGATTTATTCTGTGTCCGGCACAAGGGTAGCTTAGAAGAGTGAAAATTTTCTTCTGTGAAGTACTTCATAGCTAGGTCAGCATAAACAGAGCTCTTCCAATGCCTCCCATGCTCTCCAACCATAAAAGGAAATAGGCACTGGCTTTTTCAAGAAGGATAAGATTTTCCTGATGGGCTGGATCCACGGGGTCTTCCAGGGCTTCTTAACCTTGTAAGCTCCCGAATTAGTGGCAGAGATTTTGTCTAGACCAAATAGCATTCCTGGCAGGATTAAACTACAACATGTCTGGGGAATTGCTGATGCAGCCATTGATGTCACAACTGCATCTGTATTTGGGATTCTTTCTTTCTTTTAAGGAATTGCTCCAATCTTTTTATTTTATTTTATTAGTTGTAGATGGACACAGTGACTTTATTTTATTTATTTTATGTGGTGCTGAGAATCGAACCCAGTGCCTCATACGTGCTAGGCAAGCGATCTACCACTGAGCTACAGCCCCAGCCCGGGGGTTCTTTCTTTTCTTCCTTCCTTCCTTTCTTTTCCAGTGCTGGGGATTAAATTCAGAGCATTGCTCCTGCTAGGCAAGCACTGTACCACAGAGCTACACCCCCAGGATCTGCCCTTTGGGAGCGAGCTACCAAAGGAAAATGCCAATTCTGTCCCTTTGCAGGAGTCAATCACTCAAATGTTTGGACTTTTGACCTGCAGATCAAAAGCGGGGTGGTGATGGGGAGACAAATATGGAAAGAGAAGGAAAAAAGTATGATTATTAATGGGGGTCAAAAAGTCCTCAATAAAGGAAAGCCTTTTATGGGTTTATCAGATAACTCTTTTGTTTGTTTATTAATTCAACATGTATTTGCTATATTTTCTAACCCATTAGTACTACTTTATTTTCTTCTGGTCCTAATGTGGTCATCCTAAATGTATTTCTCTTTCCTATCCCACTTATCTTTAGGGGGCTTTGTACAAATTTAGCCACCTCTAAAGTGATCTAAGTTTAATTCCTTAATGTGGATCTTTGCCAAAAATGGCAAA